TCTTTAATGTTTACTGAAAGGCCAAAACAATGGTAGGTGATAGCAAAGTTGTTCACTGACTATTGGAGTTATTCATTTGAATGGCAGATTTGTCATCAGCATAGTGATGTTCTGAGATGTGTGGCGTGTATAAAACAGGTTTTGATCGAAGTCTACACCGGTTGAAAAGTCCTACTTCATATCGATATGCTGATGTCAACTCCTGGATTATCTGGAGGATGTTTGTGAAGCATTGCATCCAGATACAAGCAGAATAACATAGGGGCCAAGAAGCTTTCTTGTACGTGATTGGAAATTCTTATAACAGCATTTTTAGGTGGAATACATGTCCAGACATATTGTCATGAATTGCTTGAACCATAGAGATAAAGTGATCGGGACATCCAAAAACGATGAAGATAAAGAACTTTCCTCAGAGAAGCTTTTGGAACGCTTGGAAAAGTTTTTTTTTTTTTTTGTAGTTCTCTTTTGGAGTTGTCGAGTGTACCACGAGCACGGAATCCACAACCTTGCTTCCTAATCACACACACACACACACACACACACACACACACACACACACACACACACACATATATATATATATATATATATATATATATATATATAGAGAGAGAGAGAGAGGAGACAGAAGAGAGAGCCAGAAAAAAAGTGAGAAGGGATAGATAATTCATACAAATATAAAGTTTGTCACTTAACTGATTGGTGTTAACTTCAGCATTCGGACTCGAAGACGGACCCTCTAGCAATCACTCCGTCCACTCAGTCCTGGGTATGATGATAAACTACATCCGCGTCCTGGGTAAGACGATAAACTGCCTCCGACAACAAGGCCTCTGATCAGGACGTTTTGAGGAGTCTGGAATCACCTCTTAATTACTTGGGTTCCCAGGTCCGCCCTGACCCGGGGTGGTAGCACCTGTTAGGGTACCAGCTATGAGCAAATAGTTAACCCCCAAAATCGGAACAAAACACTATGAAAGTGTAAAAATAGGTTTTAATATCAGAAATACTTCGTATAAAAAATTATTACTAGCAATAATTTTTTTAAAAATTATTATCAGTGAAGGGTAATTCTTACCAGAAATAAATTTGATTTTTGAAGGAAAAAATATTACCAGAAATAGATTTTTGGAAAAAATATTACCAACAATGAAAAGTGTCAGCAATAAATATCCCATTGAGGTTGATATGCCATAAAACAAACCAAACCAAACCAAACTCACTCCGTCCACTCGTTAAGATATGTGTTTGTCACATTCTATATATATATATATATATATATATATATATATATATATATATATATATATATATGTTTCGTGCACTATAGTGGGATAGCAGTTAATATCTATTTTGTGTTCTTATAATATTTTATTTTAATTTCTTGGGATTTCGCCAATATAATTTTACTAGCAATTCTTGCAGGTAATTGTGTAAATTCTTCCATAAAGGTTTGTCTTATTGTTTTGTTTTGTATTAAGTTTTTATTGTTTAATGTGTAGTATGTGTAGTCGCATTAACGTAAACAAACCTAGTCCGATGAAGGGGCGAAACGCCTTACAAAGTGGAAAAAGTTATCAACGTTGTTACATCATAATTTTTTTAACGTCATCCTGTCATAATTTTTTTTAACGTTTTCCCTTGATAACGTGTCTTCTTACAGAACAGATTTTTAATTTGCTTGTAATATGTGATTAGTGTTATATCTGTAATTATGATATGTTAAGGAATTCAGTAGACGAGTGGTTTGTTTACCAAACTTGGAAGTTGAAAGATAAGTTTTTGGAACTTTTATTTATCTATTCTTGCTCTATTTCTTTTTTGTTTTTTTAATACTGAGCATTTTGCAAAAATCTGTTCGCCTTCAGACTCGTTAAATTCTATAATTTAATGGCCGCCATTTTTTACACACACACACGCGCGTGCGGATACTCTAACAGCTTTTTTCTCACACTTCCCACCTGTGGAATCTCCCTCCGATTTCTTGCATCCCGGATAACTACATTCTTCAAACATTTAAATGCGAGGCCAAGCGCCATCTACTGCCTGTTCCTTTTTTTGCCGTTTCCTCTATCCTTCCAATTCTCATTCACTTTAGCCTCCTGTAACCCCACCCCCCAGCACTCTCGACTTGCTGGGGGTTAAATGATTAAAAATAAACTTACACGCGCGCATACGCATGCACACACATATATGTATATAATTGTGTATTTGGGCAGCAATCACCCTTTTAAACAAGTTTCATTAAAAACGGCTGACAAGGTGCGCGACTTGAGACAGAAATTTAAATAAAAATAAAAATAGTAACGTAAAACAGTTAAAACAATAAAAAATTATTGTAAAATTTCTATTTTTTGAAAAGATAAATGCTGCAAATATTCACAGAAGGTTAGTTGCACTTGATATAAGCACACAGTAGGAGATAATTCAGTATAACTAATGACTAGATTCATACAGGGATTTTAAGACAGCCCACATTCCAGGGAAAGTGATGGTCACTTTGGAACCAGAAAGATTGTTAGGATTGCTGCCTAATGGCAACACTATTTACTCTGGCCTTGGAGTCTGCAGAAGAATATTCAAACATTTCTGACGAGGAGATTATCTTAAAGTGTAGATGTTCTCTCTTACTATATAATGATGATCAATGGACTAAAAACTTCAGATGATAACTTTGACATCTCCATGGGTTCACTGGACTCCGCTGAAACCTTCTGACATGGTGGGATTATTCATTTTGAATAATTTAACTGCCCATGATTGTGTTGATACCAATAGTATATAATTATATAGAGATGATGGCCTTTTAATTGTTTGGGACTCTGCTAAAATTAAGGTAGATCGTATTAGGAAGATGATACATAGAGAGTTAAAAAAAATACTTAGGCCTTAAAATGAAACTAACAACTAACATCAAGCAAGTAGGTTTTCTTGACCCTTGATCTTATGATTAGTTCTTATCAACCTTATGTGAAGACAAACTCTTACCCTGTATATGCACGTCCCAATTCTAATCAGCCAACGTTAGTTATTAAGCAAATATCTTCTATTGAATTTAGAATCAG